AGCAATCTCTACCCCCCCAAAAAAATCCCCCAATCACAGTATAACCCACGTATCCCACTGAGTTTTTGTCCCCAAAAGTCCCCGCTAATCCCAGACCGCCGGGACTGTAGGAGGGCTGTGGAAGCACTCTATGTAAGGGCTATGTCAAGGGTCAGATCGGGGGGTGTATTAGAGGCTATTTTGTGTGTATGTGTGTGTGTGTGTGTGTGTGTGTGTGTATATTTATAAGGGGCTACGTCTGGGGGTATGTCTGGGGGTATACAATTAGGGGTTACATAAGGTCCAGTCTATGCCCTCGTCATCTCCTTCCTTCTGTATGCTTGTGAATCATGGACCTTGACGGCAGAGTTTAAGAGGAAGATCCAAGCAGTCGAAATGAGATGCTTTAGGCGACCTTTTGGCATCTCAAACAATGACCACGTCACAATTGAAGAAGTGCGTAGTAGAGTTAAACAACACATGAGCCACTATTTAGACTTGCTGTCTACTGTGAAGCGAAGAAAAATGAATTGGTATGGTCATGTAACAAGATCGTGTGGCCTTGTCTATCCAAGACCATTCTTCAGGGAACTGTGCAGGGGAGGAGAAGGAGAGGAAGGCAAGGAAAGAGGTGGACCGACAACATTGCGGAGGGGACAGGGAAATCCTTTCGACCAAACTCAGGCGCTCGCAAAAAGCTGTGAAAAGTGGAGGCACCCGACGAGGCGCTTCATCATACAGCGCCCCTACGATCCTGGTGGATTATGGGATCAGTAAGCAGTAAGTAAGGTCCAGCCGAGCTTATTTACACGTAAGTCACAAGCCCCCATAGCCATAACCCTTCTCCGGGTTGTGGGGGCGTTGGAAAATTGCTGAACACAGCATCAGCTGTCGCCACCTCAGACGGTCACGGGCGAGGACTTGTTCTTGTTTTAGTAGAGGTTTTACAGCGCTCGAAACTGCATAAGGTCATATAATCGCCAAGGGGTGGATGTCCTTACAGGGAATCAGACTTACTCTGCTCACCTCTCCAGCTTCAACAGCACAAAGTCTGCTTCAACTATCAAGGCATCCGGGAAATAGCGGGTCTCAAGAGTGCGACAACCATACAAAAGAAGTAGAGGAAAATTACGACAGTAAGGATTAGGAAATTAAAAGCAGCAGTTCCCTGTTGTAGTTCAGGCACAGTTATGAGCATGGCATTATTGAATCAGCCCATTTACAATTTTACTGTGCATTATACTGAGAAATGCCACCCCTCCCCTTTTGGGAATGGCCTAAAGACAGTTGTGCCAGTGGCACCGCCCCGGGAGGTAGCGAGGACTTGGAGACATTGGTGCTGTGTTCCTGTCCATGCAGCGTGTGTCTTGGGCAAGGGTAGCCGAGCGGCGCCCTATCCTTCTCCAGACTCTTACTAAAGGTCAGACACCATACGCCCGTCCTCGTACCCCCTTCCCCTCACTCTAACCCCCTTTCATTTTCAGTCCCAACTCCAAGAAAATAATAATAGGTAGGTAGGTAGGTAGGTAGGTAGGTAGGTAGATGGATCACAGAGAGAGAGAGAGAGAGAGAGAGAGAGAGAGAGAGAGAGAGAGAGAGACAGAGAGAGACAGAGAGAGACAGAGAAAGAGAGAGAGACAAAGAGAAAGAGAGACCAACGAGAGAGACAAAGAGAGAGAGGGGGACAGAGAGATAGATAGAGAGAGAAAGAGACACACAGACATTCAGGCAGAAAGAAAGAAAGAAAGAAA